CGCGGTCCCATTGCGAACCAGTAGTAAAGGTAAGTAGAACCCACCTCTGGCCCAGTTCCTGCAACCGTTCTTCATACGTTTTAGTCGCCAGTCCCCTCATCATCCTGGTTGTTCTCTTCTGCATTTTTTCCAGTCTCAACATCCTTTTTAGAGTGTGGTGACCAAAACTAGATGCAGTACTCTCGGTGTGGTCTTACTAAAGCTTTATTGAGTGGTATCAGTACCTCCCTTGATCTTGATTGTATCCCTCTGTTTTTTTGTTGTTGTTTTTTTTGCTTTAATTTATATGCCGCCCTTCTCTGGAGATTCAGGGCGGCTTACAATGTGTTAAGCAATCCCTCTGTTAATGCGATTTAGGATTACATTGGCTTTTTTGGCTGCCGCTGCCCACTGCTGGCTCATATTTAGAGAGAGAGCGCGCGAGAGAGAGAGAGAGAGAGAGAGAGAGAGGACATGGGGACATGCAGGGGTAGAGAGAGAGAGAGAGAGAGGACATGGGGACATGCAGGGGTAACTTTGTAGGTTGTCTTTTAAGTCCCAGGATTGGTTGAGCCTTGCTGGGTGATGCAATCTCCCCAGGTGCCACGTGGTGAGTTCTGTTGCTAGATGGGTAGAAGGCTAATCCTATCTTTGTTGGATCTTGGGTGAGGGCATTTGCCTATGAATAGACCTAGCTATCTCTTTATCTCTTAAGTGCTGACATCAGCTGTGGGCTATTGAGGAGGGTGGGAGCTATTGAGAGTAAGTCTGCTTCCTGCCTAAAAACATGTTTCTTCATTTCTCATCCAGGGAAATATAATATTCTGCCTTTTTAATATTTCCTAGAATATTTCATTTTCCTAGGAGAGGGTGGGGGCTAACTTCCGACAAGAGAGTAGTGTGCCTCGCCCCCCAAAAAAGAAAAACGGTCCAAAATTCCAATGGATATGCCGTGCAGTGTTTGTGTGTGGTGGGGGAGCTCCTGTTCCTTGCCCCAGCTTCTGCCCACCTGGCAGTTTGAAAGCATGCAAATATGAGTAGATAAATAGGGACCACTTTGGTGGGAAAGTAATAGTGTTCTGTGCGTCTTTGGTGTGTAGCCATGCTGGATACATGACCACGGAAAATGGCTTCAGACAACACTGGCTCCCTTGGTTAAGAAACGCAGATGGGCACCGTGCCCTAGAGACAGACATGACTAAACAGGGAAACCTTTACCTCTATTTCTTATATATATATATATATATTAGCTTTAATTAGCCGACATAAAGCTTTAGATGGAGGCTACAGCTTACGAAGAACGGTTACAGGAATTGAGTATGTCCAGAAGGACTAGGGGATGTGGTGGCTCAGTGGCTAAGACGCTGAGCTTGTCGATCAGAAAGGTTGACGGCTCAGCGGTTCGAATCCCTAGCGCCGCGTAACGGGGTGAGCTCCCGTTGCTTGTCCCAGCTTCTGCCAACCAAGCAGTTTGAAAGCAGGTCAAAAATGCAAGTAGAAAAATAGGGACCACCTTTGGTGGGAAGGCAACAGCATTCTGTGTGCCTTTGGCGTTGAGTCATGCCGGCCACGTGACCACGGAGACGTCTTCGGACAGCGCGGGCTCTTCGGCTTAGAAACAGAGATGAGCACCGCCCCCAATCATCTAAGGTCATGGTTGTCCCAAAGGTGTTTTTTTTTTTCCTCAAGAGTCAACTGGACTTTCTGGTTTTTCTTTGAAGACGTTTCGCTTCTCATCCAAGAAGCTTCTTCAGCTCTGACTGGATGATGGTGAGGAATGGAAGGATAACCAATGGTCTGAAATGGCATAGGGTTTCCTGCTTGAGCAGGGGGTTAGACTAGAAGGCCTCAGAGGTCCCTTCCGGCTCTATTATCCGATGTTCTAGCCTAGCGTGTATATCTTGGCCGTACTAACGTTCCCGACAAGCATTTTTATTTTTGATAATTAGCGTTTTCCTTCCAGAAATCTCCAATGATACAATCGCGAAGCCACCACATTGCAAAAGCTAGGAAATCAGCCCTGCGTTATCTGGAGCAGCCCTGATGGCTTATCCTTATGACTAATAATTACACTTGTGCTGGCTTGCTTTATCTTGCACCCGAAAATAGATTTTGATCACAGAAGGTTTGCAAGCCCATGCCACGGATGCACGAAGGAGGGGGGTGGTGGACGCACAGCCGAGTGGAGACAGCCAGTCCAATTCGGGACTGACCTGTCCTTGCCCGCAATCCTAACGGAAGTGGTATCTGCAGATCTAGATGTCTGTTTACCGCCCTTTTGCTTATCCTAGCCTCCTTCTGCAAAAGGGGCCCTTTTGTCTGTGTGAATTCCCTTCTGTTGTGGTGGTGGTTAAGGAAGTGTTTATGAGACAAGGGGGAAGCTGGATTTCTTCCCCCCTCCCCCCCCCATTATGCAAGGCCTAATTGCACTCTTTGTATATTGTTCCCCGTTAGGCTAATTAAACCTACAAATTACCATGTTTCCCCGAAAATAAGACCCTGTCTTATATTTTTTCGAACCCCGAAATAAGCGCTTGGCCTTATTTTCAGGGAGCTCTTATTATTTTGGGGCGCGTGGAGCAAGATGGGGCTTCTCTTGCCATCTCACCTGATTTCCAGCTCTGCATTTAAATATTTTTGGGGAGGGCTTATTTTCGGGGGGAGGCTTATTTTAGCGCATGGACTGAAAAGCCTGATTGGGCTTCTTATCAGGGGATGTCTTATTTTGGGGGAAACAGGGTAGATAGATATTGTAGATAGATAGATAGATAGATAGATAGATAGATAGATAGATAGATAGCTTCCATCCTAAATTTCATTAACTAAACCGAGGAGGAGGGTGGTGGAGGAGAGGGAGAGGGAGGCCTTGCAAGAGACCTGTCCAGAAACTCCTCAGAAGCTGTGGACACCTGCCTGCATGGAAAGTAGGGCAGCCCTGTATTTTCTTCGCACAACATTGTGGGTCAGATGTTTCGGATTCTACTTCTGACCCCCTTGATCGATTTCCTGCGGCGGCTAGACAAATCTCCTCACCTCAGTTTCCTCAACGGCTGAAACATGAATAACCGGATATTTAGGATACACACGAAGGAGGAAGCGGTTGGTGGGATAATACTTCATGTTCATAAAGGTCTTCAAGACCCGGTGGGAGAAGACCGCGTGAAGAAAAGCAAAACAGTGCCGCGCTTTTAAAACCGGACTCTTTCCTGCCATTTCGCAGGAGGAAATCCATCTCCAGATAAAGAAATTTCCCAGGGAAATTTTATGGATGTGTTTTCCCGTTCAAAAATATCCACGTTTCTGCGCCGGATTCTTCCTTGAAAGCATCCGAGACTTAAATTTTGGGCCTCTTGGAGTAAAAACACAGGAGTGCAAATCCTGGTGGTAGGATTTGTGTTGTGTGAGAAACTTTCTGTATGTGTTGGGGCCCGTACGCGGCCTTTGCAGGTAGTAGCTGATTCCGACAGCAAGGAGGCTGGTGTGGTGCTGCGCCAGCAGCCTGTGCAGTTGGCACTCGTGTCAGACAATGAGGAGGCTGGAGAAGATGTGGTGCCAGAGGCGGGGATTCAGCCAGGGCCTTCAGAACCTCCAGAAGCTCCCATAAGTGAAGAGGAAGAAGAGGAGGAGCCTCTTTTCAATGCACAGGTGCAGAGAGCTGCCAAAAGGCAGGAGTGGTTACTCAGGAGGAGGTCTCCTCGAGAGCAAGGCTTGGGGCTAATTGGCCACTCCCTTAGCCTATTTAAGGAAGGAGGACGACTGAGGCAATTTGCAGGGAACAACTTCATTCGCTCTCCTTCGTCTTGATCTTAGTTCTCTGCAAATTGCTTCTGGGCTTTCTGCCAACCATAGTAAGATTACAATTATTTATTCTTGTAGCCTGTTAAGAAAGTTAATTAACAGCCTTTGTTTGAAAAAGACGGATTTAATTTAGTAAACTAAGGTTTGTACAGACTTTGTGTGTGTTGCGTTCTTTGGGGTCCGTAGCTGGGGCAGAACAATGTAACTTAAGTCATTTAACGTTGATCAATCCGATCCTTTGTTGAGAAACCGTCTGTTACAGTGACAGGGTTCAAATCATGTGCAACATGCAATGCACATTCCCGGAGCAGCTAAGAAATCTTACAAAAAAACCCGAAATACAGACATGTGCAGATACGAAGTCGGATAGCCTAATTTGCAGAAATCTGCCCACGTTGTCGACAGAATGGCACCCACAAATTTTTGCTCACTACAACTCTATGAAGGGCATCCTCTATTGTGCCAGATTCAGTGTTCGATCCTGACCAGCTCAAGGTTGACTCAGCCTTCCAGCCTTCTGAGGTCGGTAAAACGAGGACCCAGATTGTTGGGAGGCAATAGGCTGACTCTGTAAACCGCTTGGAGAGGGCTGTAAACACTACGAAGCAGTATATAAGTCTACGTGCTATTGCTACAGTATATAGTATATAAATGTATATAAATAACACACTTCCTTTATTTTTACATTTTTGGTCGTATCTTGTGGGGCTGCATTACTAGCTGTTCAGGGCTGAGGACTGGACATGCCCAGCTTAGAGGTAACATCATTTAGAATGGAGTAATTCAGGGGTGAAATCCAGCAGGTTCTGACAGGTTCTGGAGAACTGGTAGCAGAAATTTTGAGAAGTTCGGAGAACCGGCAAATACCACCTCTGGCTGGCCCCAGAGTGGGGAGGGAATGGAGATTTTGCAGTATCCTTCCCATGCCATGCCCACCAAGCCACAGAACCAGTGTAAAAAAAAAATTGGATTTCACCACTGGAGTAATTTAAATAATCATTTTGATCTGCACTTTGGAAGAAAAGAAGCAAATTCTTGTGGTTAGCTTTTTAGGGAATCTTTGACAGAATGAATGTCTATCCATGCATGTGTCTGGGCCTGTATGTCTTAATCCTGTCCCTCAAGTCACAACATTGTCCTTCCTACAAAAGATTGGTCCCTCCTGGATTTTGACATCCCGGGAATATGATTTAACGTGAAATTCCGATTTCGTTTTCTTTCAGGTTTTGTTCTGGTCATCGGCCTGGTGACTTTCTACCGTATTGGACCCTACACCAGCCTGTCCTGGTCTTGCTACCTGAACATTGGGGCATGTCTCTTAGCCACATTGGCTGCAGCCATCCTTATATGGAACATCCTTCATCGGCGGGAGGACTGCATGGCCCCCAGAGTCATCGTGATCAGCCGCACGCTGACCGCTCGCTTCCGGCGAGGGCTGGAGAATGACTACGTGGAGTCCCCGTGCTGAGAATACGGAGACGGAATGAGGGAGATACAACCACACAGGCAGATTTTTAAAAAACCAAAGAAAACCCCACCAAAAACTGACTGCTTCCTTATACATAGGCGATGTAATTTAAAACCACAAATTTCACTCTTTGCTTAAGAGAAGCCCGTCATTACGGGGAGTCCTCAATTTACGACCAAAACTGAGCCCCAAATTTCCGTGGTTAAGAGAGACACGTGCTAAGTGAGCTGTGGCCCATTTTACGACATTTGTTTAAAGTGGGTAACTTGGTTATGAAGTGAATCTGGCTTCCCTCGTCGACTTTTGCTTGTCGCGAAAGGGGTTCCCGTGATCTTGGAACAAAGCGACGGTCATAAATACGAAGCAGTTGCCGAGCCCCTGAATTTTGATCGCGGGATCACGGGGGGACACTGCAAAGGTCGTAAGGGTGAAAAAACGGCCCTAAGCCACATGTTTTTCACTTTGAATGATCACAAAAAGAACTGTTGTAAGTTGAGGACTAGCTGTATTACTTAGATGGGCCATATTTGTCTGTGTCTGTCTGTCTGTCTGTCTGTCTGTCTGTCTAACTCAGAGATCTTCAAACTTGGCAGCTTTAAGACTTGTGGACTTCAACTCCCAGAATTCTCCAGCCATAGCTATGGCTGGAGAATTCTGGGAGGTTGAAGTCCACAAGTCTTAAAGCTGCCAAGTTTGAAGACCTCTGATCTAACTCGCTACATTATGCAATGCTTTTCTTGATCTCAATGTACAGAGTAAGATATAACAGCTCAACCATCTTGATGGATTTTTAGCCAAAAAAAAAAAAAAAAGAAGAGTGTGGAGCTATACTCTGATGGATTTTGTGAGAATCTGGCAACGGGAAAAGGCAACCCCCTTCTTTCAATGTTTAAGTTGTTTCCGTGCGAAAGCAACCAACAGATTCGAGGGCTCAGTTACAGAAATGTTCCTTCGTTGGAACCAGCTGTAAGAGCGGTCTGAAAGAAAAAATGACAGCTGTTCTCTCTTTTTGTCCATTTGGTACAATTGGAAGTTTTTTTAAAAAATATATAATATCGGCAAATACCACCTCTAGCTGGTCCCAGAGTGGGGTGGGAATGGGGATTTTGCAGCATTGTTCCCCTGGAGTGGGGAGGGAATGGAGATTTTGCTATATCCTTCCCCCAGGAGTGGGGTGGGAATGGAGATTTTGCAATATCCTTCCCCCAGGATTCGGGTGGGAATGGAGATTTTGCAATATCCTTCCCCCAGGAGTCGGGTGGGAATGGAGATTTTGCAATATCCTTTCCCCAGGAGTGGGGATTTTGCAGTATCCTTTCCCTGCCATGCCCATCAAGCCACGCCCAAAGAACTGATAGTAAAAAAAATTGAATTTCACCACTGATATACAAGCAAAATTTGAGAGGCATAGAATCTGGCCAGAACAATTATTCTCGCTTTGATGGAAGTGTTCCAAAATTAAAGACAACCAGAGATAATTGTACTGTTTGGGAAAGCTTGGCAGAAATTTCTTTTAACAGGGCATGAAATATTTAAGATTTCAGGCTTATTAGTCTTTAAAGCCAATTTTGTAGAAACATTTCCATGCCGCTTAACTCTTGATAAAGAGGCTCATTCTAAAGCTGCCATCCTTCATCATATCTGCATTACCCACATCAGGAAGAGTCGGCTTTTCTCTTTCCATCATCTTTCCATCATTAGCAATGATTTAAATCAAAAATTGATGGCTGGGCATTTTTTCAGATTTGGTGCTAAATTGTAGCATTTTTTTTTTGGCCTGAGTGCTGAAGCCAAAATAGAATAGAATAGAATAACAGAGTTGGAAGGGACCTTGGAGGTCTTCTAGTCCAACCCCCTGCTTAGGCAGGAAATAGAGATACAGGTAGTCCTTGATTTACGACCACAATTGAGCCCGACATTTCTGTTCTTAAGCGATACATGTGTCGAGTGAGTTTTGCCCCATTCGATGACCTTTCTTGCCATAGTTGTTAAGCGAATCCCTGCAGTTGATAAATTAGTAACCCGGTTGTTAAGTGAATCCGGCTTTGTCAGAAGGTCGCAAAAGGGAATCATGTGACCTTGGGGCACAACAACCGTCATAAATAGGAGCCAGTTGTGAAGCATCTGAATTTTGATCACACGATCATGGGGAAATGCTGCAAAGGTCGTAAGTGTGAAAAATGGTCGCAAGTCCCATTTTGCAGTGCCGTTGTAACTTTGAACAGTCACTAAACAAACTGTCGTAAGTCGAGGACTACCTGTGCTGAAATCTAAAATCAAACCAGGGCCGCTTCAGAAAATGCTTCAGTGAGGTGGGAAGACCAGCTTACTAAATTTATGGGAGGCAAGAATTTATTCCTTCTTGATCGAATGGGGGGGAAAAAAATCCATCAGAAATGGCTGTCAGACGAATAGATCCCTGATACACACAAATATATTAGGTATAACGTTTGATAGAACGTTTAGCAAAATATTTAACCAGTGACGAAGGATACTATAGAGATAATGACGGAGGGGGAAAAAACAGATTGGATGATGAGGCTGTTGACCTAAAATATTTAATGTCTCTTTCTTAGAGACGTTTGTAATATAACCGCTTCAAAACTTTGCTTTAGCTTTCTGCTTTCCATCCTTTTTTTTTTCTTCAGAAAAGGAATAATGAAGCTAGCTCTTCAGCTTCATAGTATGACTTAATAGGATGCCGAATAAAAGACAGAAACAGGTATATCACTCAGTACCGAAGCCTTAATAAACAACTTAACCTAAGCGAAACAAATGGGAAAGTTTAAATTGTATATGCCCGCTTGAGGTTCTGGAGGAATTATTTCTATTCTGGATGTAACAACTGATTTCTTTAAAACAATCGTGGGTAGCATTTTTCCTCCTTAGGTTACCCAACTGTTTAGAGGACCAAAAACCTGCTATTAGAGAAAAAAAGTAATATAAGAATATTGTGCAACATTTACGAAGTATTTTGACGTCTTTAGCACTATGTGTTGTAAAGTATACCTAGAAGATAATAGATGTGGACAATTATGATTGAAATTAGTAAAACAGCGACCAATATAATCCTTTGGGCACCTTAATGTTGTTATAAATTACTTTACCTACATGTATAGTCTACTTCCCAGTAAGTTCTGTCCTATAAAATATGCAAATTGGGATGAGAAAATTCACATTGTAGTAACAGTCAGGGTGGGCTGCTGGGGGTTCGCAGGGGTTCGGGAGAACCTCTAGCTAAGATTCTGTGCAGTTCGGAGAACCCCCAAATCCCACTCCTGGCTGGCTCCGCCCACCCCGCCCCTCCCAGGAGTCCCCATGCGGCCTGTTTTGGATGCAGGTAAGTGCAGGGTGCGCGTGGAGGCTTGGGAGGGTGAAAAACAGGCCTACCAGAAGTTTGGGAAGGCCGGAAACGGGCCTGTTTCCGGCCTCCAGAGCCTGGGAAGACCGTTTTCATCCTCCCAGAGGCTCAAGAAAAGCCTCCAGAGCCCGGGGAGGGCAAAAATGCCCCCCCCCCGTGCAGGAGGCCGACTAGGCCACGCCTACCATGGCCACGCCCACCCAGCAACCGGACAGAGAACCCCTTGCTAAAATTTTTGAAGCCCACCCCTGAGTACAGTTATGTTCCAGAGTTTACATCTCACTTCAAAGCAGGCTTGGAGTCTTTCTTAGATTTTGAAAGCTGCCTTGCTGGGACTAAACAGACCCATTCAATCAAAAATTGGGTTTCACTTCAGCTTGCCTGCCTGCTTCCTAGGAAAATTCTATAGCGTAAAAATGTGCTCTACCTAACTGCCATTTACCAAAAGATTTTAAATACTAGAATATTGAAGATGTATCATTTCTGCTAATATTGCAATAACCATCATTATAATGTGAAATTAAAAACAAATGGTTCTGCCTATGATTCCACTGTTAAAGAGTTGAATTCGCGGTGTTCGTTTTAGAGATGGAAATAAAGTTAAAACGATAGATTTGCCTTTAGAGGAAAAAAAAAGAAGGGAAAGAGCAAAGGCGGTTTTATATTTATATATTTTGGGGGCTGCCACAGAAAGACTTGTCCAGCCCCTATTCCGGGAAACTCAAGAGTGGGGGGGGAGAATTAATAGGCTATCTTAAAAATTAGTTACATGGCTTTTTGGTGTAAATGAAAATCGGTACATAAGGACATGACTTTCAACCTATAAGTAGCTTGATGATCAATCAATAGCTTGGATCAAGCTATTCTCCAAAGCACCTGAGGGCAGGAGAAGAAGCAATGGATGGAAACTAATCAAGGAGAGAAGCAACTTAGAACTAAGGAGAAATTTTCTGACGGGGAGAATAATTAATCAGTGGAATGGCCTCCAGAATTTGTGGGTGCTCTATCACTGGAGGTTTTTTAAAAGAGACTGGACAGCCATTTGTCGAGAATGGTATAGGGCAGTGGCCCCACGCATGTGCCCCACCCTCTGCACATGCATGCACGGCCCTCTGCATGCACCCCCAGTGCATGCATGAGCGCCCACACACACATGCCGCCCCCCCGTGCATGTGTGCACGGCTCCCCCACATCGGCAGAGACCTGAAGACCAGCTGGCTGGTGGGAGGCGTGTGCGCATGCGTGGCAGAGCTGAAGTGGGGCGACGGCTTGTGTGCCCACAGAGAGGGTGCTGCGTGCCACCTCTGCCACCTCTGGCACGCGTGCCGTCATGGGTATAGGATTTCCTGTTTGAGCAGGGAGTTGGACTAGAAGACTTTCAAGGTCCCTTCCAACTCTTTCTGTCCCAGCTTGTAATTTTAAAAATTCTGATACCTTTGGCTGAATATTATTGGACAATGTAGCTGTTCATATAATAAGTATCCGAACAATTTTATGAGTCAAATCTCCTGAATCAGGTCTATTTGCAATCCTAGGATAACTTTGCGATGGGTGGAGAATAACAGAAATGTACAAGTCCCATGATCTAGGCCACGGGGTCTGCAACCTTAAACACTCAAAAGAGCCATTTGGACCCGTTTCCCACAGAAAAGAAAACACCGGGAGCCACAAAACCTGGGTGGGCGGTGCCAACTCGATGTCACTTCCACCGGTCACATGATCCCCCTAGCCACGCCTACCCAGCCAAGGAACCAGTTGTTAAAAAACACAGGGAACCACACAATCCTTTTGACATCTCTCCCCTCCCTCTCTCTCTCCCTCCCTCTCCCTCCCTCTCTGTATCTCTCTATGTCTCTCTCTCTCTCTCCCCTCTCTCTCTGTATCTCTCTGTCTCTGCCCTGGCCGCTTCTCCATCACCCGCCATTGCCCTTATCTTCTCAAGACAGGCGAGGAGTGACTGGGAGGGGAGGGCGAGGGGCGGGGCCAGCCAGTGGTGGGATCACCTGACAGGGAGCCACAACAGAGGGCCCAAAGAGCCACATGCGGCTCCAGAGCCATAGGTTGCTGACCCCTGATCTAGGCAAAGAAGACCAAAACATTTTTTAAGATCTGCAAAACATATTCCGAAGCAGCTCAGGCAAACATCTCTTTGATTCACTGGTATATAGAAAAGAAGGGAGGGAAAGCACAAATGGACTTGTCAAATTCTATTATTATATCATCTCTCAGTATACTGTAGATAGATTTCCTGGGGAGTTGATTGCCTCGTCTAATTTACCTAATGGAACTAAAACTATGAGATAAATTTCGGGTTTCAGAATAAGCAAAACACGAAAAGCCACAGAAACAAGGACATAGAAGGCAAAATAAATGCAGCTTTCATAGCAACGCCAGTGACGCCACCATTCTAAGATCAATGAACACCACCAATCTGAGATCAATTGATCTCTTCTCTCCAGCGATCAAGGGATCGTCACACCAGACAAAAAGAGAAATAGGGGAAAACCCAAAACCACCCTACCTTTTGATGAGTTTGATAGACTTGAAGGCCTCATCCATGTCTCCAATGGTCAGGTAGAAGCTGAAGTTGAGCATCGCTTCGCAGGTCATCTTGTCACATTCTTCCAGCCCAATGAAATCTCTCATTGGTCTTCTAGCCACCATCTGATGCAGCGGGACCCCGCCAGGTTCTACCTCATCCTTTTTCTCAGCTTCCGGCTGAAAAGGAAGTACTAATTACACACGGCAAGCAAAATATTTGTGGTGTGTGTGTATGTGTGTGTGTGTGTGTGAGACAGAGAGACAGAGAGAGGGAGTGAGGGAGAGAGAGAGAGGGAGGGAGAGACAGAGAGAGGGAGAGACAGTGGGAAAGAGACAGAGGGAGACAGAGGGAGAGAGAGAGACAGAGAGGGAGACAGGGAGAGACAGAGAGAGGGAGGGTGGGAGAGACAGAGAGTGGGAGAGGGAGAGAGGGGGAGAGAGGGAGAGGGAGAGGGAGGGAGAGAGAAACAGAGAGAGGGAGAGGAAGGGAGAGACAGAGAGAGGGAGAAACAGAGGGGGAGAGACAGAGAGACACAGAGAGGGAGAGGGAGGGAGAGAGGGAGAGAGACAGAGAGAGAGGGGATGGTGAGAGGGAGAGACAGAGAGGGAGAGAGGGAGAGAGACAGAGAGAGAGGGGATGGTGAGAGGGAGAGACAGAGAGGGAGGGAGGGAGGGAGAGAGAGGGAGAGAGACAGGGAGAGACAGAGAGGGAGAGACAGTGGGAAAGAGACAGGGAGACAGAGGGAGAGAGGGAGACAGAGAGAGAGAGGGAGAGACAGAGAGAGGGAGGGTGGGAGAGACAGAGAGTGGGAGAGGGAGAGAGGGGGAAAGAGGGAGAGGGAGGGAGAGAGAAACACAGAGGGAGAGGAAGGGAGAGACAGAGAGAGAAAGGGAGAGACACAGAGAGAGGGAGAAACAGAGGGGGAGAGACAGAGAGACACAGAGAGGGAGAGGGAGGGAGGGAGAGAGGGAGAGAGACAGAGAGAGAGGGGATGGTGGGAGGGAGAGACAGAGGGGAGGGGGAGGGAGAGAGACAGAGAGGGAGAGAGAGATGGGGAGAGACAGAGAGAGGGGGGGATGGAGGGAGGGAGAGAGAGACAGAGAGAGAGAATGTTGGAAGGAAGGATCTGAGATGTTCACATGGAAGTATCACAGCCAGTATCAGCGAGAGCCAATTTGGTTCTTAGTAAAGGCACCCGGCTACAAACTGGGAGCTTGTGAGTTCTAGTCCTGCCTTAGGCACAAAGCCAGCTGGCTGATCTTGAGCCAGCCCTTCCCTCTCAGCCCTAGGAAGCAGGCAAATGACAAACCACTTCTGAAATCTTGCCAAGAAAACTGCAGGGATATGTCCAGGTAGTCGCCAGGAGTCCACACGGATGCTAAGAATCGCACACACACACACACACACCAGCATGATGTCACAAGAATGCAACGATGCTGTTGCTATCTAATTTGCTTCCTTTGGTCTTAATGATGATTATAAACTGGTTAAGCCATAGCCCCACACGTTATCTTACCGCACTTCTGAGTACCATTAGCTCATCCTTATCACGTAATAAAATAATACCGTGGATGACTTAGAACAGTGTCTTCAACTCATAAAGCGTTTCCCTAAAACCCGGCATCGTCCCTACGCTTTCACTAAAAACGAAATGAAGATCGGGGGAGAACATTTTTCCCGGACAATGACACAAGTTTTATTTATTTTATTTTTTTTAGAAAACCGCAAAGGATAAACGAAGACAAGGAAAGTGGGGAAAACCTAACATAACAAAACTAATGAATAAAGAGAAAAATAGCATGACAAATGACTTACATAAGGTTTATAGACAGAGTTTCTCCAAAACAACAACTATGGGTCAGCAGAAATAAAAAAAAAAGAGAGAGAGAAAGGAACAGAATGAGAGGAACAGCAAAAAAATATACGGTAAAAATGTATATTGGGAAAAAAAAAAAAAAAGAAACAGCAACAGAACACATGAGTGAAATTCACAAACTAAACTCTGTTTTTACAACGGGGTAAAACAGAATTACACTGTTTTTTGGGGGGGGTTGGTTGTTGTTTAAAGCCCTCCCTCTCTCTCTTTCCCTCCCTCCCTTTCTTTCCTTGCCTCCCTCCCTCTCTTCCCCCTCTTTCTCTCTTTCCCTCCCTCCCTCCCTCTTTCCCTCTCTCCCTCTCTCTCTCCCTCTCTCTTCCCCTCCCTCCCTCTCTCCCCCTTCTCTCTCTCTTTCCCCTTTCTCTTTCCCTCCCTCCCTCTCTCCTCTCACTTTCTCTCTCTTTCCCTCCCTCCCTCTCTCTTTCTCTCTTCCCCTCCCTCCCTCTCTCTTCTCCCTTTCTCTTTCCCTCTCTCCTTCTCTCTCTCCCTCTCTCCCCCTCCCTCTTCCCCTCCCCCTCTCTCTTTCCCTCCCTCTCTCTCTTCCCCCTTTCTCTTTCCCTCCCTCCCTCTCTCCTCACTTTCTCTCTTTCCCTCCCTCCCTCTCTCCCCCCTTTTCTCTCTTTCCCTCCCTCCCTTTCTTTCCTTGCCTCCCTCCCTCTCTTCCCCCTCTTTCTCTCTTCCCCTCCCTCCCTTTCTCTCTTTCCCTCCCCCCTCTCTTTCCCTCCCTCCCTCTCTCTTCCCCCTCTTTCTCTTTCCCTCTCTCTCTCTCTTTCCCTCTCTCTTCCCCTCCCTCTCTCTCTCTTTCCCTCTCTCTTCCCCTCCCTCTTCCCCTCCCTCTCTCTCTCTTTCCCGCCCTCCCTCCCTCTCTCTCTCCCCCCTGCGGGAGAAACACGATGGAGCTGGGCTGGGGCGACAGCACACATGCCCATAAGAGAGGGCTCTGAGTGCCACCTCTGGCACACATGCTATAGGTTCGCCAACACTGCCCTAGGAGGAATTTTTCCTAGGGAGAATCTTTCTCCTTTAGGAAGAACAACTCACCTTTTTGGCAAAGTAATAGTGTGGCACCTCCATGCCCAGAAGAGACTGGTAAGTTGATGGCAGTTGAAAACTGTCTTGGAGCAGGAG